GGCTACTGAGTCAGCACAAGATGTCTCTTTGATGCCCCCAAAACCCTATTCCATGTTTTTGGGAGCGATTCTGAAAGCTCCGAGCTGGCGAAGTATTCTTAATTGCAGAAGCTGTGAAATGAAGGTTTGCGATACCAAAAAGCACCAAGGCATTGAAAAAAGCCTATCATGCTGATAGTCCCTTAAGGGCTGTTATGTGGATAGTCCAAAATAACAAATACAAACAAAAAATGGTATTACCAACACCCCTCTATGTATAAATATAGAGGAGCAAAAAATTAAGCATCTGAATAGAAGAACTGGAGACGGTGGCCCGGGGGGGGGTGGAGGGGTGTCTTCAGTTTTTCTATTCAGTCTATAGCCGAACAGAGCTGAATACGTCCCATGCATGGATCCTGTCGAAACCATTCTGGAGAAGAGAGATATTCTCCCTAAGAGCATCCTCAACTATTTATTTATTATAAAACAGAACTATGTACTTTCCAAACTGGCGTGATATTGTCAGGTTGCTAACCAATACTGTCTTGTTACCAGTGTTGAAATAAGATTGCCAGGACTACTTCAACTGAAATTAGGAAATGATCCACAATTTATTAATCTCTATTTTGGTGCAAGGAAAGAAAACATGAACCAAAATAACTTGAGTAACCTTTGCTTATGATTTATTTCCTGAGTTGTATTAGGAATGCACAAGTTGTGCTGTTAAAAAAAGGGAAATGGTTCTAAACCATGTATTTGGTAAAGTAAGAGAGACTATAGAGAATACTTTGTAATTATTTTAATCAATGGTAGCATCTTTTCCAACTACCATGTTTTATTAAAAGGCCTCAGCTTCCATTTGTGATAAGTCACTTTATCAAATCAAAAAGGCATCTGATGGAGTGAGCTACAGTTCACAACAGCTTAGGCTTTTTTTTCTAAATAAAATTTGTTAAACAGTAAAGTTATCAGATTCTGGATTTATAGAGAATGCTGAAACTTCAGCAATATTGCTCGTATTCTCTTGAGTCAGGAGTGTCAAACTCATGTTCCGTGGGCCGGACAGGTCATGCACTGGCCACACCCACCTTTTAGTGAAGTGGACAAAGTTGAAATACATCATCTGACAACAACGTGATGCCGCAAGTTTGACATCCCTGTCATGAGTGAACAATCCAGGAAAAATAGTTTCTGTAACTCACTCTCTGATAGGGGCATAGGAATACAGGAAATAAAATGTTGGAGTCTCTAGGAATTAGCTTCTGTCTAATATGCTGTCATGCTGGTCTCAAAATGGAATAGAACTAGTGTGGAGTACTCTTCTACTGGTTTCAAACCCCTGGTTTCAAACCCTTGAAGCAAACATTACAATCCCATTGGTGAGCATTCTCTTTCAAGTCCCAGTAAGCCTCAGCACTGCAGGATGTTTCTCCCCCCCACCCTTTCTTTCCCCTTCTTCTTTCACAGATGAAACAACTACAACTGCCTACTATCTCCCCACTACTGCTGTTACTTTTAGGGTCTCTGGGAATGAACCAGCTACTACATCACCACCTTGTTGAGTCCTGTGCTTAAGACCTAAGAAAGGTCGTCTCACAGAAGAGAAATCTACCATGCAGGGAGCCATTAATTCCACTGAACAGGGAAACCACTAGAGGGACAGGGGGAATGTGGCAAAATGTCCACATTCTACTGTTTCAGAAGCAGAAGAAATGACATCTATGCCTTTGTTAATTGACCACTTTGTGAATCTTGGGCTCAGAACAAAACTTAATTTTAACATGCTGATTTAAGTCTCTAATGATTTTAACTATAAATAGAATTAATCATTTATAATGTTCTTCGCTTCGGCTAGAGGTCTTCTAAAGTCAGACTCTCTTTGAAGAAAGAACCCTTTTGCTAAAAGCGATTTCATTTTAAAACTACTCAGGAATAGTCACTTGCTGACTTCCAACATCCTTGCAGAAAACATTCCCGAATGTTGCACTTTCCTGTAACAGGAAAAGTTATGTGATGCGATGAGCCAATAAAACTTTATCTTTAACGGAATGTTCCCAAGATTGGGATACCTGCTTAGAATAGGACTATATTAGAAGGAGACAGCAGTGGGCCAGAAAGTAGTGCCATGAAGATTTGATTGTGCATATTCTCCTCCCGTCCAATAATCTCTTATCAAATTATTGAAAATAATGCACAATCCAGCAAAACCTGATTGACAAGTTTCCTTAGATCTACTCTTTGCAGGTCAATTGTATCTTATCCTGTCTGGAGTTATTTTTTTTAAATAGCTCAGTATGGTATTTTTTATACTTAATAGCCTATCCTGTCTTTCCTTTTACTCATTTAAGACTTAATAAGTGAGAGAAATAACCAGGAGTAGCTAAATTTTCATTTATAGTGTGCTCCCATTCTAAGCTGCCATTTTGCAGAGTGTTTTCATTTTCCAAAGTTGGGTCTACACAATCCATGCCAATGAATTGGCTGTTGAGAAAGTCTTCATTTTAACAAGTTGCCAGCTTGGCTTTTCACCAAAGATTGGTGGAATTGCTTTTGAAACAGTCTAGGTCTTTGCCAAGCCTCAGGGGATGAATTCTTAGAATTTATTTTTAAATCTGAGTACACTTTGGCTGCTACAGTATTGGAGTTTCCCAGCTGCTGGCTTTTGGTAAAAGTCCACTGAAGGGGATTTCTAATAAAGTACAAATCCTTGAAAAGAAAGGAAGGTGGATAGAAATTGCCTCTCCTTGGTTCATATTAATGGCATAACTTAACATCAATTTCAAAAAAAGCAATAAAGTTATGAGCTTGACATAGAAGGTATTGGACTTGTTTTACCTGCCAAACCTGTTGATTTCTATTGAACGTGTTTAGATGGTTTGTAATCTGTCTCATATATAGTTGAATAGTTAAAAGTATTCACATACTTTTTTTTGTTTTTGCAGCTGAGTTATATTTCTGTAGCTCATATA